CCCCCCCTCGTTGCCCTCTTCCTCAACCTACTCATCGTGAAGATGAGGAGGATAAAATCTTTATGCTGAACCATTTAATCAATAGTAAATGATCATCATGCTATAGAGGTACTAAACTTATCTTCTGTGTATGTGGGTCTTCATATGAAAATTTATGAACTGTACACAGCAAGGACTGTGTTAATCAATTATTTACACTGTCAGTAAGGCCTCCGGTCAATAGTAGGCTATTAGTTAAGGTTGGAGGAAGTCAAAAGTTACACATGGATTTTTGACCACATGGGGGCTGGCACCCCTAACTCCTGCACTGTTTAAGAGTCAACTGTATTTAATTATCTTTTTAAAAATGCAAGACATTAGAGAAATCATGTTCATATGGAACATACAACTTTCAAGTAAGAAGTACATGCATGTATACTTGTTATCACCTTCAAAAAACTTCAGTATTCAGAAACCTAATCTTAATAATAACGGTAAAAATGTATTACTACTGACTATGTGCGGGAGCTCTGGTAGCATAGTGGCTAAGACACTTGCCTGCTCACCAGAAGGCTGGCGGTTCAAACCCACCAGCCACTCCTTGGAAGGAAGTTTGGGCAATCCTACTTCCGTAGTGATACTGCCTCGGAAACCCAAGGAGGGGTCACTATGAGTCAGGGCTGACTCGACGGCACATAACAACAACAACAACAACAACTGACTATGTGCCAGGCCCACATTGGGTATTTGTATAAATAAAATGAAATAAAGAGAAATGTGGTATTACGAAAGGATTTTCTTTTTTACTTTATAAAATAGTTATTTGACTTGAAATTGATACCCCAAAGAAATGAAGCAGGTAAAATACTAAATAGATGTAAACAACAATAAAAACCTGTTAACTACTCTGGGCCTCAGTTTTTCATCTAAAAATTTCAATCACCATGAATCTTTCTATAATTGAAACTAATCAACTCAATGAGAATGGCTAATTCACTCTGCCAAAGATTAGTACTGATTTAGAAACTTAGACACTGATTTCAAAACTATGTCATAAAACGTTAGAAATGAATCAGCAGCAGAATCAAAAGACAGCTGTTCTATTTGGATTGGGCCTACATAATCCCTATTACCTAGACTTGGAGTTGCTAGCAAAGCACACACACACCAACATACCTGTATGCAAGAGCCAAAGCCCAGGCCCCAGCAGCACAATACAGGCTGTCCTGGATCTTAGCTTTCTTATCATTCCCACACGTTTTAGTGGGAAAGAGACCTGTGGTTGGACTCTGATATACCAACAATGTTGACTTGACTGCAATTAAAGACAAGACAAAGAATAAATTATACAATCATTCATTTTCCTTGGAATGAATGTTTCCGTACTCTTTGGTTTCCTCATCTCACTTCTAATAGTTTTGTTGTTGTTTCTAAACTTAACTGTAATGTAAGATTTTTGCAGACATAGAAACAATTTCATGTAAGTTACTCTAGCCTAAGTGGAAATCCACCCTGCATAAAGGGGTTTTCCGGGTTTTGAGGATAGGTTCAACTACTTAGCACTTAAAAAGCCTTTAGCATAATCTAGTTAATGTGAACATGTATTTTAAGACTTATAAGATAACAGCAGGTTCAGAGGGAAAAAAAAAAAACCCAGTATTTTTAACAAGTCAATTCAATAGGGAATAAATGTATAGTTGAGTAGTATTTATTTTCTAACTCCAAAACCAATTAATTTCTAGGTGTAAAGTAAATTATCAGAAATTTAGGAAGGATGAGCATTAACTCAGAAGGAAGATAAATAATTATCAGCAGACCACAGAACAGTCTGGATTCTCGTATTTCACTGATGACTAATTTGTGCCTGGTATTCAGAGAAGCATATTCATTGCACTTATTATACCGTAAAGGTTAAGATTATGTTTAACATTTCAAAACTGAATCCCATCCTTACATGACATGAAAACTAGCAAGGAAAAAGCTTTGGGAACATTTTACTTAACTAAAAGAAGTCTGAAATTAAGATTTTATAAAAGAGTCTTAATACTGGAAAGAGAAGTCTTGGTGGCACAATGGTTAAGCACTTGGCTGCTAACCAAAAGTCAGCTATCTGAATCTACCAGTGGCCCCACAGGAGAAGAGACCGGGTCATCTGCTCCCATAGATTTCAGCCGAGGAAATCTGCAGGGGGCAGTGCTTCTCTGTCATATAGGGAGGGGCAGCTAGGAGTCTGAGTCAACAGGATGGCACACAACAACACTGGAAAATAGACACTAAAATTCCACTTCCTAAAAACTATATTAGGAGCTCTGGTGGTGTAGTGGTTAAGGCATTTGGCTGCTAACCAAAAGGTCCGTGGTTTGAACCCACCAGCTGCTCTGCAGAAGATCAAACAGTCTGCTTCCATAAAGATTTGCAGCCTTGGAAACCCAAAGGGAGTTGCTATGAGTCGGCATCAATTTGATGGCAGTGAGTTGTTTTTTTAAAAAAGCTATTTTACTGCTATCTAACTATAAATGGATGAGTTATGCTTTTCCCCAAATTACACTAATTAATCTAATCTAGATTGGTATATTCTAACTACTTTTTAGGATAATTTTTCAAAGCTCTAAAATACTCTGGTCCTTCACAGAGATAAAAGAATTAGGTTTTCTTTTTCTCAGACTAAACTGAACCTATCATTACACCTTTTGCTCATATAAAGAAAGTATAATTTCTTTCAGAATACCACTGTTATCACGACTTTCTCCCAGAATAAAGAATTGGCTCTCACAGTCTAAAATAAACAATTTACATTTTGTTAAAAATTGTCATTAATTTTCTTTAACTAGCTGGGCTATCCTACTTCCGTAGTGATACTGCCTCGGAAACCCAAGGAGGGGTCGCTATGAGTCGGGGCCGACTTGACAGCACATAACAACAACAACAACAAGCTACTGTTACAAGGATTAAAAAAGAAAAGATAAAGGGCAACATACTACAATCTTGAGTCAATTAAAGTTTTACTCAAGGTTTAAACAAACAAAAAGTCCCTATATTAGGGAGAGACAAATAAACCAAATTTTATATTATTTGCTATAGGAGCCCAAGTAAATGGCACAAGAAGCAAACTCACAAAAATGTAATATAAAGTTTATAATGAACAAAGAGGACCCCCATACAAACATATCTCAAAATTGCTTACTCATATTGAAAACCCAAATTTGCCAGACTGATTCTGGCAAAAAAAAAAAAAAAAACAGAAAAACAAAGAAAAGTGGGAGCAGCTAATACTAAGTAACTTTATATTACCTTTCTGTATCTCAATAAATTACAAATGAATACAAAAAGCTCAGGATACCCTGGAAACTATGAGCAAGGAATACTTAATATAAAATCTTTGTTCTCAGATCTGGTAATGTTTAGGAAAGGCAAAGGTCACAGAAGATATTGCTGACAGTTTTAAATTATGCATGAGCCACAAATGACTTGCTGGATTCCTTTTACAGCCCTGCTATCAATGTGCAAGGACCCCTAGCGGCACAGTAGTTAAAGTGCTCAGCTGCTAACCAAAAGGTTGGTTGGTTCTAATCCACTGGCTGCTCCACAAGAGAAAGAGGAGGCAGTCTGCTTCTATAAAGATTTACAGCCATGGAAACACTATGGGGTAGTTCTACTCTGTCCTACAGGGTTGCTATGAGTCAGCATTGACTCAATGGCACTAGGTTTGTTTGGTTTTTATCAATGTGCAAATGAAATACCTAGCTGCCTGAGCACTGAAACTACTCCAACATCCAAATGCCAGAACATCACCATCCACACAGTATATGCAATATAAACAGGGCAGAGTAAATGCTAACCATAACTAAGGCCATGCTTTCCTTACCAATTCTGTAATAACGATCCAATTTATTCCACAGAGTTTCATTATCAGGTCTTGGAAGATTAATGCTTTTAAGAGGTTCATAAACTGAGCCTAAAAGAAAAAGAAAAGCTCATCAAATTCAATTATTTCCACCCAGACATAAGAAGAAAACTTTTAAACAAATGAAAAAACACTAACAATCTAATTTTTATGTTTATATGTGAATTATCCTATTTTACTACTGGTAAAATTTTTGATGAGTATAGAAAAGAAAGCATCTTTGTCAACAAGAATAGATGGTTTCACACCCTCACCTTCACCTTGGCAGGAAAGCTAACTAACTGATGTGTATGTATACTGGTCCAAACAACTCAAGTATCATGTAGAAGTGACCAGCTCAGTAATTCCATTTTCCTTTGAGAAATGTATCTACTTACATGCCCTGAAATCCAAATCCTATTCCTGATGGTGGTGCTTCATCAGGCCATCCTGTATCAAACAATCATACCCAAAAAAACCCCAAGAAAAAAGATAATGCTCAAATATCCAAAGGTATCCACTCTATTAATATTCACCTACTCTTCACAACAAAATTCTTAAGCCTCCACTTTCTCCTAGGTAGATAATATTCTTGCCTTATTATTTGGACTATAAGCAAAGACAAATTCTACTTTTCAGCCATCAAAACTAGTACAAGGTGTTAGCAAAACCATGCTGCTCAAGTGCTACAGAATACACAATAATCATGATAATCGGTCACAAAATAGATACAGAAAATTGTGCACTTGACTGGTGTACTTTCTCAAGCGCTGACTGAAAGGCAGACATCTGAACCTTCAGCCATCAGACTAAGTACTGGCTCTCATTTTTGTTAAAAGCACTGAGAAATCATAAATATCTCAGGGTCACAATCAATCCACCTCTGGATTCAGGTAATGCATGCCATATACTCACAGCACAAAAGTGAACCTATAATTTACCTGGGGGAGATTGGGGGGGATTTTGTTGAGATGCATTAAGATTCTGTTTTTAAAGAAAATGAAAGCATGTGTATTCATAAAATTACTATTTCCAGTACACTAGCTTAAAGTCAGGGTAATGGAAATACCTTTATATCTCGGCAGATGGTAAACATTCTGAAGGGAGTAAAGAAAAGACCTATACATTCAGTCAACAATCCTATTATTATCTTCTGCCAGAAAGAGAGAAGATTTGAGGATGGAAACAGGAACCAGGAAATGATTTGCTCTGAGTGAACAGAAGATTTTCTCAGAGTTTTCACAATAATACCAAGTAGAACGGCTTCACAGTGAAGAATGGTGAGACACACCAGCATTATCAGGACTCCTGCCCAGGAGGCAAAGACCCAGCCATGCTCTCTTCTTCCCTGAATTCATCCAGCTCTGAGCAGGTTTAAATATATGGTCACCCAAGTTCTGGGAGTCTACACCCTCCCAATGAAGTTCATTAACTAAGAAAATAAAATCAGGTACACATAATCACTTTACAAATTATGTGTATGTATATACAAAAGCTAAAGAAGATACCTTAAAAAACAGCAGACACCTTTGCTGAGGTAGAAAGATTGTGGGTTGCTATGGAGCTCTGGTAGCATAGTGGCTAAAGCACTTGACTGCTAACCAGAAGGCTGGCGGTTCAAACCCACCAGCCACTCCTCGGAAGGAAGGTTGGGCAATCCTACTTCCGTAGTGATACTGCCTCGGAAACCCAAGGAGGGGTCGCTATGAGTCGGGGCCGACTCGATGGCACATAACAACAACAACAACATGGACTGAAAGGTGTTCCCCGAAATATGTGTTTTCAACTTCTATGCCTGTGGTTATAATCCTGTTTGCGAACGGGTTGATTTTGTTATGCTAATGAGGCAAGTTTGGTGTAGGGTATATTTTTCATTAATCTCTTACAAGTTATAAAAGGAGAAGGTTAGGTAAACTGAGATAGGGGAAGATAGATGCCAAGGCACATGGAGATCTTCAAGGCAGGAGGAAGCAGGAGCTAAAAAGACAAGGACCTTTCCCCAGAGCTGACAAGGAGAAAGAAAGCTTTCCCCTGGAGTTGGCACCCTGATTTCAGACTCTAGCTTCCAAAACTGTAAGAAAATTAATTTCTCTTTGTTAAAGCCATCCACTTGTGATTACTTCTTTTATAGCAGCACTATGATATTTCTGCTTTTTACTTAAGAGTTCTATTAATGGAGCTATTATTTTGATTTATATAACAAAAATAAAACCACCAAAAGCTGCATAGCTTTATTACAACCAGGTGAGGCAATGATAGCGGAGCAGTACAATTCTAGCCGTCCACGTAGGAGACCCTGGTTCAATCTCCAGCCAGGGCACTTCATATGCAGTGGAGGGTGCGTTGCTACGATGCTGAACAGCTTTTAGAGTTGCTTCCAAACTAAAGTGGATGAGAAAGGTTTGGCAACTTCTTCACACTAGAGAAATATAATCTACACCTTCATTTCAGAACACATTATTGTCAAAGAGACACACTACCAAAGAGCAATGTTGTTGTTATGTGCCGTCGAGTCAGATCCGATTCATAACGACCCCTTCGAGGAGGTATCACTACAGAAGTAGACTGCCCTATCTTCCTTCCTACAAGTGGCTGGTGATTTGAACCACCAGCTTTCTGGTTAGCAGTCAAGTGCCTTAGGCACTATGCTACCAGAGCTCCTAACAAAGAGCAATACAAGGGAATAAAGACCAGGACTTGTTTTTTGAAGAGAAATGTTACAGCTTTTCATGAAGGAGGATAGGGCTATTTACTAACAATACAACTAACGAAGTAAAAGTTTCATAAGAAATTTTGATGAGCCAAAAATTATATTAAGAAAGAATAAAAACTTAAGAAAGGTATAAACTTTCTGAATTTTGCACTATGAAACATTTAGAAGGTTCCTGAGTGTTACGGGGTGGCTCTTAAGATATTACAATCCTGGGAATTCAAATAGCAACCATTCAAGGCATAAAAAACATGATCTAAGAGAAAATTCAAGGTAACAGATGAGTGAAATTGATCAGCAAGCCAATACAACATCAATAGTCTGGATTATTTTGGCACAGAATTTATCATTATATGATTTAAAACTCTTTCATAAATATAAAAAAAAAATGTTATTAATCATGACTTTGATGAGCCTTGAAGTGACTTTATCATTGCTCCAAATATGGGGATGGACTACATGCATTCTATTTATTCCACAAAAACAAAGGAAAAGGTTGAAATGGCAAAAGTCTTGCTATATAGATATATATTTCACAATAAAATTTTCAAAAGGAAAAGAGGTACTAAAAATATTCACGACTCAAACTCTCAAGAGATTCTTCCTAATGATATAAAAATCATCATATTCATTAATTTATTCTTCTAGCAGGCTACTAAGATTTACAGTTCAGGAGGAAAAGTAAAATAAGGTCTTAAATAAGAATAATACAAGGTAGAGAGTGGTTAATATCTTGAAAGACAAAAAATAAGAAAAGGCAGTTCCACAGTGGGGCTCAGAGAACAGGGAACACCTGCACTGACTCTGAAAACAGTAACAATTTTAAGTAATGGACTGCCATCTAAATACGAAGATAACAGTTGAAATCTAGGAAGGCATGAGTCGAAATTATACATACACATGCACACATAATGTAATATACTTCTAAAATTTAGAAAAAATGCCTTTACAAATATATAAATGTGATAAGACACAAAATAATACGTTCTAAACATGGAAATGTTCAGGTAAAGAAACTATGTCACTAACAGGTTAACTTTAATTTAAAAACCAACTTAAGTGTGCACTTTCAAAGGATTGCTGCTGTTCTTGGGTGCTTGTTGTTGAGTTGACTCTGACTCATAGCAACCCTATGTACAACAGAAAGAAACACTGTCTGGTCCTGAACCATCCTTATAAAATTTGATATACCTGAGCCCATCTTTGCAGCAGCCACTGTTGTCAATCCATCTTGTTGAGGCTCTTTTTTGCAGACTTTTTTGCTGACCCTCCACTTTACCAAGCATGATATCCATCTCCAAGGAATGGTACCTTCTGACAACATGACCAAAACAGGTAAGATGAAGTCTGGCCACCCTCACTTCCAAGGAGCATTCTGGCTGTACTTCGTCCAGGGCAGATTTGTTTGTTCTTTTGGCACTCCATGGCATTTTCAGTATTTTTCACCAATACTGTAATTGAAAGGCATCAACTCTTCTTTGGTCTTCCTTATTCACTGTCCAGCTTTCACATGTATATGAGGCAACTGAAAATACCATAGCTTGGGTTATGGGCACCTTAGTCTTCCAAGTGATATCTTTGCTTCTTGACACTTTAAAGATGTCTTTTATAGCACAACTGGGTAGAGAATTTTATTATAAATCTAAATCTCTACAGAGGTCTGTACAAAAAAATCAAACCAAACTCACTTCTGTCGAGTTGATTAGACTCATAGTAACCCATCCTTGGGTTTCTGAGGTGGTGTCTCTATGGTAGTAGATTGCCCAGTCTTCCTTCTGAGAAGTGGCTGGTGGGTTTGAACCACAAGCCTTCTGGTTAGCAGTCAAATGCCTTAGGCACTATGCCACCAGAGCTCCCTCAGAGGTCTACAGAATTCTGATTTTGTCCTTTAATTAAGGAAAAGAAAATTTTTAGATGAAAAATAAAAATGGCCTGATGCATTCCTTTCAAAATATTTCTTTAAGCTATGTGTACAAACATATGTAAAATTCCTTACGCATGGAATCATAACATACCTGCTGTTTTTATCATGAACCTGTATTTTTTTTTTTAACCTTACCTCACTCCTTGGTCTCTTCTACCCTCCTTTCCCAGGATACCACTTTTTTTTTTTTCCCAGTCTATGGAGCTCTGTGGGTTCAGTGGTTAAAGCATTTGGCTGCTAACCAAAAGGGCAGCAGTTCAAACCCACTGGCTCTGATGGTGTAGTAGGTAAGGCATTTGATGGCTAACCAAAAGGTCAGTGGTTCAAACCCACCAACCACTCCACAGAAGAAAGATGAGGCAGTCTGCTTCTGTAAAGATTATAGCATTGGAAACTCAGGGCATTTCTACTCTGTCCTATGCAGCTTTGAGTCAGAAT